TGCGACCGAACACTGAGAGGTGAGTGACCGGACGCTAGGTCCTAGCATTTGGTCGACTCCAGTAAGGTCCCAGAGAGGGAGAATCCTGATTGGACGCGTCCGGTAAGTGCTGACTGGACGCTGGTCAGGTTCCCGCTACTGACCGGACGCTGAGCAGCAAAATGACCGAACGCTAGGGGTTCAGAGTCCGATCAACATCGGTAAGGTTCTAGAGAGAGAATATCGTGAGCGGACGTGTCCGGTCAGTGCTGACCGGACGCTGTCCTACGTCCGGTCATAACTTAAACACTGGGAGTCAGGGAGAACTGACCGAAGCGTCCGATCAACATGACCGGAGCATCCGGTCACCCCGCAGAGGCACATAACGGTTCGTTTTGAATATGGGTGTAAAAATACTTTCTCTATTCGTGTGAGGGGGTATTTTTGTTCATTTCAATAGCTGAGAAACACTCTTGAGAGTGTCAAGAAGAGTAAGGTCCTAGTGAGAATCTAAGAGTGAGACCTCATTAGTGAAAGCAAGAGTAGCAAAGTGTGCATCCACCCTTCTCATTAGTCTTGTCGTGGTCAAATGAGAGTTCACGCTTGTTACTAGTTGGTGATCGCCATCATCTAGACGGCTTGGTGGTGATTGGGAGCTTGGTGATCATCCGACGGAGCTTGTGGATGACCCAACTCAAGTTGTGAGCGGTTGTGGGTGATTCACCACGACGAAGTGTCAAAGAATCAACCCGTAGAGAGCACTTGATCCTTGCGCGGATCAAGGGAGAGCTACACCCTTACGCGGGTGCTCCAACGAGGACTAGTGGAGAGTGACAACTCTCCGATACATCGGCAAAACATCGCCGCATTCTTTCTCCTCTCTTTACTTTGAGCAATTCAATTCTTGTTTTTTACATTCATAGAATTACCATGCTAGAGTAGGATTGAAACATATGTTGCTAAACTTTTATACGTTAGATCAATATAAACACTTTCTAGGCACAAGGGGTTAATTGGGCTAACCATAGAGTTTAATTATTACAAAGAATTTTAGAATTAGCCCAATTAACCATCTCTCTTTGACATCTTGATCCTTTCACAAACTATTATATAAGTGAGCTGTAACCTTGCTCTTGAGGGGTTTTGTTTGGTTCCGGTCGGCATGGTTCGCTGTTTAATACAATGTTGTTGTACCAATAATTGTCGTGAGCTGCTACAGTGCTACAGTGCTAAAGTCCTCTATTTAGAACCCTGCTTCTAGTTATAATTTACCGTATATAACTAACTTTAAATAAGCTTCAAAACTTTGCTATATCTAAGAACATCTTATCACACATTATGTCCAAGGAAATCTTGGCATACCTTTTTATTCTATGGCATTGAGTCCAAAACAATCTTATCCAAATTTAGTTAACAACTAAACTCTTATAAACTTAATTAAATTTATGTAAAGTAAAATATAGCTAACAACCGATCACCGCTAAAGGTCTCGCTCCTTGGCTCGATCCGTAGAGCCAGACATCCAATGTTTATTAACATCTACCGGTGGCCCTGTGTCTTTAAATTCGACTTGATTCGCTTCTTTTTTATCTAGAACAATATTTTTCTCTCACAAATTTCTCTAGATTCATCTAGATTTTTTTAAATTCCTCTCAGCGAACAGGACCCGCTATCGTTAACGGAATGTCAATAGTCCGAGAAGTCCAGCAACCAGCACTAAATGCTCCACGTAGAGCTAGGCAGCGCTCGTGGAGACGAGGGGCCGTTTGTTTGGGCGCTCCGGCTCCTTTCCTGTTATCAACTGTGCAGTCCTGTAGCATTGAAAAAAAGGCTCTGGCTCCTGCAGACAGTAGCGCTACAGTAGCGGATCCGGTACCTCTGAGAGTCACGCCAAACACAGCCGAAGAGTCGCTAACTGTTTGTTTCCGCGATTAAGGTCCGTCTTAATAGGTTTCATCTGAATTTTATGGGCACTAAATATATCGTTGTGGCACCATATTAATAAAGAAAGATAATAAAAATTTCATAAAAATAGAAATAGTTTCGTTGGGACAAAACTCTTCTACACTCGCGTTGAAAGGATATGTTTAGTTCGCGAAATTTGAGAATTTGGCTACTGTAGCACTTTTCATTTTTATTTTGCAATTAGTGTTCAATCATGAACTAATTAGGCTCAAAACGTTCGTCTCGCGATTTTCAATCAAACTGTGCAATTAGTTTTTTTCGTCTACATTTAATGCTTTATACACGTATCGCAAGATTCGATGTGATAGCTACTATAACACTTTTTGGGAGACTTTTTGGGAACTAAACACAGGCTAAGGCCTAGTTCCCAAAAAATTTCACCCTAAACTATCACATCGAATCTTGCGGCACATGCATGGAGTATTAAATATAGACGAAAAAAACTAAGTACACAGTTTGGTTGAAAATCACGAGACGAATGTTTTAAGACTAATTAGTCCATGATTAGCCATAAGTGCTACAGTGACTAATATGCGCTAATGATGGATTAATTAGGCTTAATAAATTCGTCTCGCAGTTTTCAGGCGAGCTATGTAATTAGTTTTTTTTATTAGTATCCAAAAACCCGTTTCGACATCTCCGAAACATCCGATATGACATAAAAAATTTCATTTCACGAACTAGGCCTTGTTTAGCTCGGTCGGAATCGGCATTTGCACGGTATTTGATGTGACAGCAAACATTGTAGTAATTTCGTTTGTATTTGTGAATTATTGTCTAAACATTGACTAATTAGGCTCAAAAGATTCGTCTCGTAAAGTTCAACCAAACTGTGTAATTAGTTTTTAATTTCATCTACATTTAGTACTCTATATATATACCGTAAATTTGATGTGACAGAGAATCTTTTTTTATATAATGTTAAAGTTGGAAGTTTAGGAAAACTAAACAACACCCTAAACACATCCTAAACATGAAACCCACCGAGACTGGCCTAACCGAACGCAGCTCTGAAGCCGCTTCTTGGGAATCTCCCACCGTAGTTTATTTTCTCGTGTTCCACGCCGTGGGTGACTGCCAGACGCACGTTCATCGCGGCGCGTTCGGCGAAATTATTCCATTGTTCTTGCTAAGAGGTGTTTGATTAGGTCACTAAAATTTAGAAGATGTTATATGAGAATATCTTATAAGATGTTTGGATACTTAAAAAAATAAATTATAGAATCATTCAGTACTCCACGAGATGAATTTATTAAACCTAATTAATCTGATATTAGCACATGTTTACTATAGCACTACATTGTCAAATCATGGACTAATTAGACTTAAAAGATTCGTCTCGTAAATTAGTCATAAGCTGTGTAATTAGTTTTTTAATTAGTCTATACTCCCTCCATACCCAAAAAACACGACGTTTAGGACGAGATTGTGGTAACCAAGGAGTGATTAATTAGGGGTTAGTTTTCATAATAATAAATATGATTAATTCTGTCTGCTTAAAACTCTCAAGCGGGCTAGTCTTGATTAAAGAGTTCGAATCCAGCTGCCCCACCTTTTTGTTGCCCATTTCATTTTGCATGGCGATGGTCCGTCATAAATGTATTAGTTTTTTTTAATTAGTCTTGTTTCATTTTCGTTTAATTTTTCGTTTGTTGCTCGCGCTTTCCGGATAACGACGCTTGAGCGTTTCGCTGCATCCCATACTCCTCCATCCCTTATTTATCACGGCAACTTGCTTTCTCTCTTCTCCACGTCATTTGCTTGCTTGCTTAAACGCCTCTCTTTCCTTCTTTCTCAACCATCTATTCTTGCCATCTTCTCTCCACTTAAATGAGTCTTTTTTCTCTGCCTTTGATCTAAACGTTCGTTTGGAAAGATTTTTCCCATCGATCTCAAGATGAGAACCACGGTAATTTTTCTCAAGTTTGACCAAATTTATATAACAAAATAATAATATTTATCATACCAAATAAATATCATTAGATTCTTCATTAGTTATATTTTTTTACATATTATACCTATTTAATGTCATCAATCTTTATATTTCCTCTATAATTTTGAGCGTGGAGAGGAAGATGAAGGAACAAAAATTTGAAAAAGTTTGACTTGGCACAACTCAAGCTTTGTAAACGGGCCAAAAGGCCCAAAACTTAAAATTCCAACTTACAAAGTTTTCAAGTGGAGGTCATACCAAGTAAGTATCATTAGATTCTTCATTAGTTATATTTTCATATTATACCTATTTGATGTCAATCATCCGACGTCAAACTTGACTCTCCAAGATTCTTCAAAATAACTTATAATTTAGGAGCTAAAGTTTCGGAGGAGAAACAACCCCTAAATCGCGACGCCAATGCTATCCCAAACACGGCCTAAATGCTCCACGTAAATAGTCTGCGCAAGCGGAAGCTTAGACCGCCCGGGACACGCGAAAATAACGATTACTACCGTCTCCTAAAAAGAGACGGAGGGAGTACTTGCTGCTCCACACAGAGTTGAGCAGGGCACGCGGAGCCGAGCGCATATTGCAGAACAAGCGAAAAGACGCCTCCTATAACGAGGCGGAGGGAGCCCGACTGCCCGAGAGCCTGAAATGAATTTCATTGCTGCGGAGAAACGGATTGCATTATCCTTTTTGCTGATAGGCAGGCTCGTAATCAGCTTGGTATAGGCAGGCATAGTAGGCATGAATCGCCCTGGTCCAACGGACCTCTCCATTCTCCCAATACAGTTCCAATGCGATCCCGCAAAATAGCGAGTTCGCACATAGCAACACATAACCCTACGGTACTAATTTTTGGCTCCTCCGTTCTAAATTGTCTTAAATTATAGGTCGCTTTGACTTTTCTGCTACGTCAAATTTGCTAATTCGTTGCTAATTTGAGGTAATACAGAAAGCGACGTGTAATTTGGAACCGATGAACTACTGCGAAAGAGAAGAAAAGTCAGACTGATAATTTTACCTACTCTTTGGTTTGGAAACATGCGACTAGGCAGTTGACTTCAGAATTGCGCCACTAGACCGCTACTATTCCGAGCTGGTTGACTTCAGAATGCTACTCTTCCGAAGAGGAATCAGTCACGGCAATCTCTTCGTCCTCCCCCTCCCATGGCTGGTAACTGCCGGTCTGCTGGCCTTGTGATTCTCCGTCGCCAACAAGCTGCCCCGCATCGTAGACAGCCTGCTGCTGGAAATTGAGGAATTCAGGATTGGTTGGGAAAGCCCAATAGTGAGTCGGCTGGTTGGCCGCGCCGGCCTGCTGCGGAACCATCCACATAGCCGCCGCCGGCGGAATCATCTGTTTGCCTTCGCCCGTCGCGCCGGGGCTAGGCGCCGGGATGGCGATGAAAGGAATGGCGCCGGCGGGCGCCGCGGGGGCAGAGGCCGGGGCAAGGCCGCTGGACACCGAAATCGCGCCGCCGCCGTTGGCCTGGAGGAGGGGGTCGGCGATGACGGGGTAGTACGCCGCGGCGGGGGCAGGTGCCGCGGGTCCCGGTCCCGCCCCCGCGCCGCGCGTCGGCTGGAGCTTGCGCCGGCGCTTGGCGGCCGGTTCCTGCTGCTGCTGCTCGCCGCCGCCGGCGTCCGCGGGGGCCGGCTCGGCGGGGAGGCGGAGGACACCGTCGGCTCCCGTGACGGCGATTGCGGGGACCGTGCCCGTGCCCGTGGCGGCGATGATGGCCGGCTCCGACTGCTGTAGCAGCCAGCGGATGGTCTCGCCGTCGGACTTGTGCCCTAGGTCCCGCGTGAGGCGGGCCACCCTTTCCGCGCACGCCGCCGCCATGCGTATGCGCCGCCCGCGGCCCTCCACCTTGGTGTGCCGGTCGCGGTAACGCGGTGGGGGGCGCGGGTTGGATACCTGGAGTCCGCCGCCGCCCAGGAACTCCACCGGCACGGGCTCCGGCTTCGGCAGGCCGGACCCGCCCGCCTGGATCGAGACCATCCCGTCTACCGCGACGGTCCCCGCCGCACTACCGTTGCCGGGTGCGAGGTAGAGCGCCTTCGTGCCCTCGTCACCCCTGCCCGGTGCCCGGGACTCCATTGAGAGATCGGATTCGCTTTCGCTTGGGCTCCCCGGCGCGTGGGGCCTCACGTTTTGATTTGGCGGCGGCGCCGTCTTTTGGGAGAGGACTCGCCCTGGCGTTTTTATTTTTAATCTCTCTGGATGATGGGTCCCGTAGATAGGGTTACGGGGCCACCGCCGAACGGGCCGAAATTGTGGGGGGGCATTGGAATGGGACAATTCGGCCCACCACCACGGCAGGTGCATCCGTGCAGGGAAGAGAAAATCTTTTTTATTTCTATTTATATATATTGTTTAAATATCTTTTTGACAAAAATAATGCCTAGGAAAAAGTAGCAAAAATATATTTATGCAAACAAGTTTAACCAGCGAAATCTAAATACACCCGTTCCAACCGACAAAATTTAAATATGGCAAAATGAATGGATAGAAAATTGACATAGCATTTGAACTATTTTAAGGGGTGTTTGGTTTAGGAGTGGGATAGGGATCCACTTTGTCCCGATGTTTGGTTGGGAGATAAGTGAATAAACCATCCCCACAAGAAACTATTCTTCAAAGATATTGTCCCTTGATGTCCCTCAAAATTTGAGGTATCATGCCATCCCCTCCTGATGGTGTTGATTTTTCGTCTGCTCCTGTCTTCAATTCGTCTCAATGTCTCCTTGCCTCCTTCTTCCTCTCGATGTTAGACCTGCCGTGCCCCCGCACCGTCCCTCACGCATGCCGCCAGGAGCATCACCTTGTCGGGGAACCCCACCGGGAGCAAGTGACCCTTTGGTTGCAGCGCCACCGGGAGGCCACGCATGAACCCATTGTGTGATTTGTATTTTGTATGGATTATAATTTCTCTATAGTATTCCATCTCTGTGAGTTTATGGTGCGAGGAATTTGCAATCCTTTATGCTTATTTTGAATATATGTTGAGGTGCAGTCGTTAGATAGTAAAGATAACTCTTAGGGCTTCTCCAACAATTGTCTACATCAGTAGCTAGGAATGACATGGAGGGGTTAGAACAAGTAAAACACTATTCGCTAGCGAGTTACTCATCGCTAGTTCGGAGCCCTGAATGTGAGCACGCGAGTGGTATCATTTCCCTTGTTCTCCTCTGGCGTCCAAGAGATCGAGTACGGTGAAAACAGTGGGCACATTAGTTTAATGGATCTAATATGAGCTATCCAGCGACTTCGACAACAACCGTTGCGGACGCCCTTACAGGGAAGGCTGATTGTGTTGCGGAGGTAGGTAGGGATCAACCTAGCATTACATAAAGGCTATGAGGGACAATTTGCTCTGTAGCTGCTAAAATCTCCCCAAATGTTGGATTTTGAGACTAGCAGTCTTGTTCGGCAGGACGTAAACGATCGTATCGATCGTGGATTATAAGCTGGAATAATATTTTTCCTCACACCAAATCAGTCAGCAGTAAATAATCCACGATCCAGCCCAGCCAGCCGAACAGGCTGTAGAGTGATGATGGATGCTTGTCCCTTGGCAGCATGACTATAACGGGATAGCCCCCTTATTATTGTGAAGAGATTGTCTTGAAAAACTAACTCAGAACAACATTATTGAAATTAAGATGTAACTAACATCCACACCACACGTCAAGGTCTGACTTTCGTACCTCTGCGCTAAGAACAAAAATGGAACGGATATTTCTCAATATTCGTCCATCCCGTAAGGATCAAAATCCTGTACGGATAGTCCATATCTGAATCTAAATATCTAATATTTGTACTGTACCTAAATCCGAATACTCAAAATCGAATTCCTGATATGTATATGAGATATATATTAATATCCGACATGATCCATTTCCGGTTTTGAGATCCAAAACATTAGGACAACCTCGAATCCTTTATATTCGAGGACCTAGGAACTATCTTACTAGTAGTACTAGTTAAGCTAGTTTTCTCTCTTGTAAGTGAACACTTCATATACATCCTCGTCCCTACAATAAATAATAGAACGTTTGGACGGTTTGGTTTGAGGAACTACCTCATTTTAGATATGATAGTGTATCAGGGGTTAAACTTTCTAAACTATAGTTAAATTTAAAAATGTTTAATCATCCCAGATCTAGAATTATTTTTCTAAGCCTATCTCTAACAACAACACCTAAAATATAAGACACATTCGTCCTTTGGATAGCGCTACAGACGCAAAAGATTCAATACCTATTCGGCATCTTCTTCAACAACAAGACTCAAAAGAGAATTCTTTCTGTAAATGAATTTTTAGGAGAGAGGATACCCATATTTGAGTTGTGTCTTTTAGATAATCCAAAATAAATCATCCGTATAGATACTTTATTGAAGACTAATTTTAATTTTTTACTATTTTGAATTTGGGCGCGTTCTCGATGGAGCCCGTCTAACGGAGGAGCAAGGGTACTAGATTATTACTGTAGTTGCCTAAAAACTTGGTAAAAACAATAGGCGCCTCGAGCCGTTTGTCGTGTCTGTGTCTCTGAGTCTCTCACGTGCCGTGCCGGAATCTCGCAGCCATCGATCGATCCAGCAGATGTGACAGCCGCCGCGCCGAGCCCAAGCTGAGCTGACGACGCTGACGCGGCTGAAAATTTCCACGAACATATAGATCCGCATCGTCGACCCATCCGTCCTCCTCCCGACGGTACGCCAGCCTGCCAGAGTCCCCGACGCAGGCGTAGCTCCCGGCCACAGCAGAGCCCACGCCTTGACGCGCTCCGTGTGAGACTGACTGTGAGTGGAGCAGCGTACGGGTGCCGGCCGGCGGCCAGAGAGGAAGCAGATCGAGGAGGCTCGGCTCGGCTGAGTGGAGGAGATGGACCGCAAGGATGTCGGGATCCTCGCCATGGACATCTACTTCCCGCCCTCCTGCGTGCAGCAGGTAAAATTCTTTCCCCCACTCCGTCCGAACTGTAGGCGTTACTGTTTCTGTTGCTCTTACGAGCGCCTCCGTTGCGGGGCGACTCTGATGCTTCCGATCCGCGTTTCCCCATTGGCGCATGCAGTGTGGGGGAGATGGGGCTTCTCTGTGTCGAAGGATTGTGTTTGTCTAGGAATTGACGGAAGTATTTCGCTAGATGGGTCTCATGGGTGGGAATTGTCGCCACTTTGTGTCGAAACCTTAGATTTTCGTGATTGCCGTGCAGTATAGTGCCGCTGAAGATCAAATCAATAGTTAGATATGTGTTTTTTAAGATTATATTCAAGTATTTGAAACTCCAGTAAATTTGGAGAGTTTGACCTCCAAAGATCCGTGTAAATACGGGAAAGTGAGCATTTCAAGTAAAACACGAGAAGATCCGGCTAGCTGGTGTTTTGTTTAGGGAGCGAGAATTAGGCTCATTGTTTTAATAAATACAAATCTCATAGCTGATGACTTTAATGTAGGAAGCACTTGAGGCCCATGATGGGGCGAGCAAAGGGAAGTACACCATTGGACTCGGGCAAGATTGCATGGCCTTTTGCAGCGAGGTGGAGGATGTCATCTCAATGAGGTATGCTCTTTTTCAATAGCCTAAGTTAAGCAAGACTGTTAGTCTGTTGCATGTTTGTATTCACATAGATCCATTTCCCCATCTAGTTCAGATAAAGGGAAAAAAAAACTTCCGGATGCATACATTGTGTTGCGCGGGAGATGCATATAATTGGTATTCTAAGGGAGTTTGTAGTTGCTATTTTGGATATAGGTTTACATTCTGATTTGAGTCCTCATGGAAGAGCTAATTGCTTGCAGTTTGACGGTTGTCAATTCCCTGTTGAAAAACTACAAGATTGATCCCAAGTTAATCGGTCGCTTGGAGGTTGGAAGTGAAACGGTTATAGACAAAAGTAAATCCATCAAAACTTGGCTGATGCAAATTTTTGAGGTTTGTTCATCTAACTTTGTAAAATCTCCCAAGTAGCATCAACACACATGTACGAATACAGTATTTTCATGCCGACTACACCTTTTTAGTAAAATGTTTCCATTTACTTTTACTCATTTAGTTTTCCCAAAAAGTTAATTTTGTTAGCATCTGTTCACAAAATGCAGGAAAGTGGTAATACTGACATTGAAGGCGTTGACTCCAGCAATGCATGTTATGGTGGGACAGCAGCCCTACTGAACTGTGTGAATTGGGTCGAAAGTAACTCCTGGGATGGCCGTTATGGTCTTGTTGTTTGTACGGATAGCGCGGTTTGTCATCCAGCCTTCCCTTTAAGCATCAGTTTTGTAATTGGTTTCCCTTTTAGAACACACAATCACTTTCTGCCATCTCTATTGACTATTGTCATGTTCAGGTTTATGCGGAAGGGCCAGCTCGTCCAACAGGAGGTGCTGCTGCTATAGCAATGCTCATTGGTCCTAATGCTCCAATTTCCTTCGAGAGCAAATATAGAGCTTCTCACATGGCTCATGTTTACGATTTCTACAAGCCTGATCTTGCAAGTGAATATCCGGTTAGTTTTCGATTCATAAAACGATTTATACTATTTTATATGCATTCCCCTGACCTTCAGAGTCCAGACCCTAGTGAATGTTTCTGGTTATCCACCTTAGAGTTCAACATTTTTTACAACAGCACATTCATTCCAGGTTGTTGATGGTAAACTATCCCAAACATGCTACCTGATGGCTCTAGACTCATGCTACAGACAGTTCTGCAACAAGTGAGCTTGTTCCCCTTTTCCCCTCTCTTCCTTTTAATAATAATTAGATTAGATTTGCTTAAAATTTCCCCTATGTCCCACTGCAATTTCTGAAACTAGGTATGAGAAGATTGCGGGTAAACAATTCTCAATTTCTGATGCAGAATATTTTGTGTTCCATTCTCCATACAACAAGGTAAGATACAAATAACCAAGGGCTTTAAATGAAGATCAATAACTGCTCTGAAAGTTTTCCCTTTTTGTTGTTTATAGTTTCCTTAATTCTCTACTTCTGTTATTACAGCTCGTGCAGAAGAGTTTTGCTCGACTTTACTACAATGACTTCATGCGCAACTGCAGGTTTGTACTCTTTTGTTGAGCTTCCTCTCCTTTTCTGAGAAAAGTTGAGTTTCACTTCACGATTTGTCTTAGGTCAAACAGTATATAGCAATCAGTTCTGGAGAATCTTACAATGTCAGATGGAGGGTACTCTTTTTTTTTTTTTGACACATCAAGTCCAAGTTGATCTTTTAACTGAACTTCTATACTTTTGCCAGCTCTGTTGATGATGATGCTAAAGAGAAGTTCCAGTCTTTTTCAAATTTGACTGGTGAAGAGAGCTACCAGAGTCGCGACTTGGAAAAGGTATTTTATCATTTTGTGAGGAAATTCTATCATGTAGGAAACTTGTGGTCTGATGAATTTTTTCTGCCAACTTTCCAGGCCTCACAACAAGTCGCGAAGCACCTCTATGACATCAAAGTTCAGCCATCGACTCTGCTTCCGAAACAAATTGGTAACATGTATACTGCATCCCTTTATGCTGCATTGGCATCTGTGCTATATAACAAGCATGATGGTCTGGTGAGCCCTGAACTTTAAACTATTTGTTGGATCGCTCTGTAACCATCGTTCTTGAATGCTGATAATTAGCTGTGTATTTCCTTACAGAATGGACAAAGAATTGTGATGTTCTCTTACGGCAGTGGCTTGACATCCACTATGTTCTCATTGAGGCTAAACAATGGCCAGCATCCCTTCAGTCTATCAAACATTGCTTCAGTTCTTGATGTCACCGAGAAGCTTCAGTCAAGACATGAGGTGAGCCCTTCCCATTCATGCTTATCGTCCACTGTTTCTAATTGACACATGCCCTTCAGTATCTATCCTTGCACTGCGCTTGACATGCTATCTCCTACCTCTTGCAACCAGACCTTGCCTGAGAAATTCGTTGAGACACTGAAGCTGATGGAACACCGATATGGCGCAAAGGACTTCGAGACGAGCAGAGACACGAGCCAGCTGCAGCCAGGCACGTTCTACCTCACCAAGGTCGACTCCATGTACCGGAGGTTCTATTCCCAGAAGCTGGCCGAGGAAACATGCAGCGGCAAAACCAAGTGCTGCAACGGCTTCGCAAATGGCCACTAGTGGTGCCCGTGCCGTGAATTGCTAGGTCGCCCTGCACCGTTGCTCACCATTCTCCGTATTTTGATAATGCTCGCGGTTAGCGTTTAGTCTAGCGTGTTTCTGAAATAATATTATTGTTCTTTGAAGCTGTTCCCCCTAGATCAGCTAGTTTTTATATTTTATTCATCTGACCAATAAGATTCATCAGTCTCGACATTGTTTCTCTTTGTTTCTTCTTTCACTTGCAAGAGTTCTTAAAATTAGTCTGAGAAAAGTACATACTCCCTTCATTTCAAATTCTAAAGTATATATAAGACGTTTTGACTTTTCTTAGGTAGTTAAATATATAGTAAAAACATATTTAAATCGGTAATGCTCTCCTCAGGGCGGACGTGCCCCTAAGTGGGCCTGCGGGCCAGCCCAATACAATGGCCGTGAGAAGCTAGTCGTAGGCTAATTATTTTACTGGGACTCGCAAAAGCTTCGCCGCTCCCGCACCACGCCTTGCCCCGCCCGCCCTTCCCTTTCCAGATCTCCAAGCTTCCTTCTAGTCTCCCACTCTCTCATGCCGCTTGCTGCTGCTACTGCTGAGCAGCTGTTGTTATTGCGGGGGAGGAGCGGTTGTAGATTTGGTGGCGCAGAGAGGCAGAGGCAGGGACAGGGGCAAGTACTATGGGGCGAGGACGAAGTGGAGGTGGAGGGGGCTGGCAGCGGCCGCGTGGGTGCTAATCGTGGTGGCCTGCTCCACGGTGATGCACTGCCTGCGCCGAGGAGCCGCCTCCACTGTAGTGGTGCCTCGCCGCGGTGGACTACACCCACCCGCCCTGTCGCCGAGTGCCGCGCAGCCACCCGCCCACTGGCATCGAGCTCCGCATCGACGGCTCAATTTTGTCCAAGCAATGATGCGCTTGAAAACGTAGGTTACAACCGTACGTTACAAGTGTATCAATTGTATTATAGGTACGTTGTAACTTTTTTTATATGGATGTTATAAAAGTAGATCGAGATATTACATATGTTGCAATATCTGTATATATATGTTGCAAGCTTTTGTCCCTCGTGTTTTATCTGTGCTTTTCGGACGCATGTTGCAAGTGTGTGTTATCTGTATGTTGTATATCTGTATGTTGTATATGCTTCACACATATGTTGCACGTAATTTATCTGGATGTTGTGTATGGTTGCAATGGTTTTCAAGTGGTTCTTAGGTGTTTTTGCAAGTGTTTCAGAAACATGTTTCAAGTGTTTCACCTGTCTTTAGACGTATGTCGCAAGTGTTAGATCTGGATGTTTCAAAAATAGATCGGGATGTTGCACATATTGTAATGGTGTTTCATCTATATGTTTCAAATGTTTCGTCAGTTTTAGACGTATGTTACAGATATTTTATCTAGATGTTACAAAAGTAGATTTAGTATTTGAATGTTGTAATAGGACCCACCTACCACAGCCACGTGCTTGCGGCTGCTGGGCCCATGTGCATGCGTGTGGGAGCGGAGCGAGCGGCAGGTGCTGTAAATGAGAGCGGGCATGGGAAATGAGACGTGGCCCCATGTGGGCGCGCGCATGCGTGGAAATGGAGCGATGTGGATCCGTGTGGGAGCGGAGCGAATCGATAGGCGCGCAGATAGGCCCAACTACCACGAGCGTCGGGACGGACGCTAGCAGTTCTGTATCTAAATATGGTCTCGTTCGGCTTACCCCATATCCGGCTTGTTCGGTTTCTTTTTTTCGGCCAGAACAGTGTTTTTCTCTCATAACAATTTAGTCAGAACAGTATTTTTCAGTCAGTTTCAGCCAGCCGAACGGGGCCTAGTCATCTAGAAAAATCAAAAGATCTTATAATTTAAAACGGACTGAGCATAGATTATAAGATCATAGGTTAGCGATGAAGTGACGTAGATGTGGCTAGGGGAGCCTTCGAGTGAGCTCAAGTTTACAGTTCGGCAGAGGGCAGTGCTTCAAAAGTTTCCAAAACCAACTCACAATCTTAATTTTTTAGAAAGATTGAGAAAAAACTGTTCTCCAATAATTTCTTATCTCAAATCCTTTTTTTCGCAATTGACTTCAATTTTTTAGAGTGATATTTCAGAAACGGTTACAAAAACTTAACAAATATGCCCCTAACTTTTTTTAGCCATTTAAAAAACATTGATTTGCAAAATATTTTTTTTAGAAACTATTAGAGGTGCTCTAACCTTCTAGCCAATATCCATCGCCCAGAACCGGACATGCGAACTGTCGAACAAGGTACCACCGAAAGCAGACCTGGGGGCAATATCACTTTGTAAAACTGTAGTATTTCTCCAAAACTCAAAAGGCAAACTTTATTCTTCCAGAACTCAAAAGGCAAACTGTATACCGTGTCTGGGTTAAAACTATCACGAACCAAGTACCTGTTCGGATACAGGTGCTAAATGCTAGCTAGTTAAAAATTAGCGCTAACCCATTCAAACAAGGGTGCTAATAGATGGGCTAATTTTTTAACCAAACCATCAACTAGTTATTAACCAACTAGACGACCTTAACTAATTTGGACTAATTCTTAGCCCGACAACTGGTCCTGGTTCATTCAAACATGCCCCAAGTCCAGAGTTTCTCCAAAAATACATCCCTTGACCAAACAGTACCAGGGGGGATGTTTGGTAGAACTGATCTCCAGTGTTAAAACACCCGAATAACCAGCAAAAAGAATGGATCTATATATCTTGTGTGAATCAAACACTTCTCTGCCGATAGCTATTATAAATCTAAACATTTCGATGAGGAAACATGATAGTGAAATCAACAAGAGTGTAATGACACGAAAAAATTTGAGCGTCTCTCTCTAACTCTGTTTTCTTCATAGCTTCTGTCAGGTTTTACACACCATGACCAGTGAAAAAAAAAAGGATCACGCTGACTGCTTGCCTTTCCTAACCCTATCTAATTCTGCCTCAGCTTCTTGCAGTGCAGATTTTAATAAAGTTATTCTCTCTTCGAGCTCCTCGACGGTGCCCCTTTTAAGAGCAGACTTGTATGGTGTAAGGAAGTGCTGGGAAAAGTTTTGTAGAGCTTGAACACCACAAACCTGGAAAATGCATCTACAAGCACTTACAAACATTGTAAGCTTGAACAAGAAATGCAGTGGGATAGCAAATTACTTACCTCTTCTGAAAGCAAGGGAAGCTTGGTGATGTTGAAGTCATCGTATAACATATGGAACTGATCAATGTATTTCTGTTGCATTTTTATCCGTGCTTTTAGCAGTTTTGACTCGACAGCTGCAAGAATGAAAAAATGAGTAGATTAAAACAACTGGACAACTGGAGATATTGATATCCAAAGGAAAGGTCCCTAAAGTACATTCCTTTTCTGCTCCTATCTGTTGGAGCTTAGGGATCTTAGGGCATAGGAATGGAAGGTGGCTGGCCTGGGTTTGAATCCCTGGCGGCGGTTTGGGGGCGCCGTGCTCGGCGCCTGACGGTGAACGCGAACGAGGAAGACACAGAGAGCGGCAAGGCCAAAGAGCGAGAGAGATAAACTCAATCTCTGGCTAATCTTCTCATTAAACAAATGTTTAGCCTTATAGGCAAATCTAAACACACTCCTAACAAACTCCTGAAAATGCTCTAGTGATCTAACAAACCAAATGATCTAACAACCCGACTAACTGATCCTGGAAAGGTGGCGCCGAGTCCCGCAGTGACCGCGCACAGCTCGCGAACGCTCTTCACGCGCGCACCTTCTAGCCACGGCTGCGTCTCTTCCTCTGATAGGTCTGGCCCACCATAACATCTCCCCCCCCTCGGGAAACAGCTCGTCCTCGAGCTGGAAGGAAGGATGCGCGCGCGGAACGCGTCGACCGGCTCCCAAGTCGCTTCGGACGCCGGCAAGTTCGCCCACTGGACCAGAATGTGCCAAGCGCCAACGCCGCAGGCTGGCACGCAGGACAAGCTCCGGCTGCTGCAGAGGGCGCCCGTGCTGAAGAGGTGGCAGAGCTGGAACGGACGTCGGAGGACCACGGAACGGCTTCAACACACCCACATGGAACACGTCGTGAATGCGGGCACCTTTAGGCAGCTGCAGACGGTAGGCCACCGTGCCCACGCGTTCCAGCACTTGATATGGCCATCGTACTTGGGCCCGAGCTTCCCGCGGGCGCCGGCGACGAGGGACTGGGTTGGCCGGTGCAGCAGACGCAGCCACACCCAGTCGCCGACGGAGAACTTCAGAGCGCGGTGAAGAGCATCGTAGTGACGGCGAGCGTACTCTAGCGCCTGAAGCAAACGGGCGCGTACCTCCGCGAGGAACTCGTTGCGGTTGGCCAGCATGGTGTCGATGGTGTCGGTGCAAGCGCTCCCCGGCTCGTAGGGCAGCAGTGCCGGCAGTGCGCGACCGTATACCACCGTGAACGGCGTCGTGCGGAGAGCCGAGTGGAACGAAGTATTGTAGCAATACTCCGCCCATGGAAGCCAGTCGAGCCAGTCGCGCCGCCGATCACCGGTGATGCATTGAGGTACATGGCGATCGTCTTGTTCACCGCTTCGGACTGGCCGTCGGTTTGCGGATGGAAGGCCGTGCTCATCCGCTGCTAGACGCCGGCCCGCCGGAAGAGATCGCGCCGGTGAACACGGGGTCGCGGTCGCTGACAATCGAGTCGGGGAAGCCGTGCAAGCGGACGATGTCGTGGAAGAAGGCTCGTGCGACGGAGGACGCCGTGTACGGGTGGCCCAGCGGGATGAAATGGGCGTACTTCGAGAACCTGTCAACCACCGTGAGTATGACACTCTTGCCGTGTACCTTGGGGAGCGCCTCGACGAAGTCAATGGCGATATCGGACCAGACGTGGGAAGGCACCGGCAGCGGCTGAAGTAGAGCGACGGGGTGCAGAGCCTCGGTCTTGTTCCACTGGCACGTGGCGCACGAGCGGACGTAGTCGCGGACGGTGCGGCGGCCGTGCTCGAGGAGGAAGTCGGCATGAAGGCGTTGAAGTGTCTTCTGGACGCCCTCATGCACCGCCGTGTGGGCGAGCTGCAGGACGTCAGGGAGGACCGGCGAGGTGCTCGGGACGAACACTCGCCCGTCGTGGACGATGACACCATCGATGACGCGCCATGAGTCGCCATGGTCACCAGCTGCGATGGCGTCTCGGCGCGCGCGCAGGTGGTCGAAGGCGACGATCTCCTGGTGCAGCTCGTCAAAGAGCTTGAAGGAGGTAACCGAGAGAGCAGATAGGAGCAGGTCCTCACCATCCCGGCGCGATAGTGCGTCAGCAACGGTATTGAGCCGGCCGGGGCGATACTCCACCCTGAAATCAAAACCAAAGAGTTTGCTGATCCCCTGGTGTTGCAGGATCGTGGACAACCGCTGATCCAACATGAACTTCAACGCGTAGTGGTCGGTGCGCACGACGAAAGCGCGCCCCCAGAAGTAGGGGCGCCAATGGCGGACAGCTTGGACGAGCCCGATGAACTTGCGCTCGTACGCAGCGACCTTGAGATGGCGGGCGGCAAAGGGCTTGCTGAAGAAGGCGAGCGGCCCAGCGCCCTGATGGAGGACGGCGCCGAACCCCTAGCCCAAGGCATCACAGTCCACCACGAACTCCTTGCTGAAATCGGGGAGATGTAGAACGGGAGCAACGGACAGGGCGCTCTTGAGGGCCGCAAATGTCGTGGTAGTGGTGTCTGTCCACTGGAAGCCATCTTTCTTGAGGAGGTGTGTCAATGGCGCTGCGATGGTGCCGAAGTCCTGAATGAAGCGCCAGTAATAACCGGCCAAGCCCAGGAACCCACGCAGGCCACGGGCGGAACGTGGCTGCGGCCAGGACTGCACCGCTTCCACCTTGGCCTCGTCCATTGCGACGCCCACTGCTGAAATCACGTGGCCCAAGTACTGGACCGATGAGGTGGCGAAAGCACACATGGAGCGCTTGATGTGCAGCTGGTGCTCGCGGAGGACGTCGAGAACAGCGCGTAGATGTTGCAAGTGCTCAGTCCAGGAGCAGTTGTACACGAGGATGTCGTCGAAGAAGACGAGGACACACCGGCGCAGGAACGGCTTGAGGACGAAATTCATCTGCGCCTGGAACGTGGATGGTGCATTGGACAACCCGAAGGGCATGACCAAGAACTCGAAATGGCCATGGTGAGTGCGAAACGCCGTCTTGGCCACGTCTTCGGGATGGACACGGACCTGGTGGTACCCCGACCGAAGATCGAGCTTCGTGAAGAATCGTGCACCATGGAGCTCGTCCAGGAGTTCTTCAACGACGGGGATGGTAAACTTGTCCTTGACCGTGGCCGAATTGAGCGCCCGGTAGTCCACGCAGAACCGCCAGGAGCTGTCTTGTTTCTTGACGAGTAGCACCAGCGCCGAGAATGGTGACGTGCTAGGCCGGATGATGCCCCGCTGGAGCATGATTTCGCACTGCGCCTCCAGCTCGTCTTTTTGGAGCATGGGGTATCTATAGGGGCAAATGGCAACCGGGTCGACAGCCGCTTTGAGATGGATACGGTGATCACAAGGCCGCGCGGGCGGCAGGCCCGTCAGAGCGGCGAACACGTCGGCGTAGGAGTCGAGGAGCCGCTCCAACAACGCCGGCTCAGTACCGCGGGCGGCGTGCAAACGCCCCGTCGGCAGAATATCCGTGCGAGTAGAGCCGATGCCCTTCCAGAGCACGCGGCGGCCATGGTGCCAAAACGCCAGGCAAAGATCATCAAAGTCCTAGAGGATTGGCCCTAGGGTGCGAAGCCACGCCACACCCAGGACCATGTCGTAGCAGTCCAGGGGGATGGAGTAGTAGTCCAGCATGAAGTGCTCCTCGCCGATGCAGATGGCGACGTCGCGGGCCAGACCGTGGCACGCTACGTGGTCGCCATTGGCCACGACGACATGGGCGCCGCGGTTGTCGTGGAACTGGAGGCCGGCCCGTCGCGCCGCAATGGAGCTGATGAAGTTGTGCGTCGATCCCGAATCGAGGAGGGCCGTGAACTCCTGGGCGCCCACCTAGATGCGCGGCTGCGTCGTGTCCTCGGTACGAACCCCTGTGATCGCCGAGAGTGAGATCATCGGCGTGTCGGGGTCGAAGGCCGCGGGTTCGGTGGTGGCAGCGGCCGCGGCATCGGCATGGGCCTCATCCTCGGGCTCCTCGACGATGTAATCTGAGACCTCGAGGTAGAACAGATGCGAGCATTTGTGGCCGCGGACGTACGGCTCGTCGCAGTTGTAGCACAGGCCGAGCTTGCAGCGATCGGCCATCTCGGACGGAGTGAGCCGCTTGAACGGCCAAGGTGGAGCAGAGGCGGACGCCGAGTGGGCCTCGGTGGAGCCCGCGGTCGGTGGTGCAGTGGTGATGGCGGCCGGGGCACAGCGAGGAGGCCGCTGCGGAGGAGCCGGTAGCGCCAGTGGCGGTGTGACGTTCCGGCGCTCATAGGCGCGTGCGAGGCTCATAGCGCGCTGTAGGTCTTGCGGGTCATGAAGTTCCACATCAATGCGGATGTGCTCTAGGAGTCCCCCAGTGAAGAGCTGGGCCTGCTGAGATGGGGTGAGACGGTCGGCGTGCGCCATGCGCGCTTGGAAGGCCTCCTGATACGACGCGACGTTGGCCGGGAAAGGCAGACGAGCCAATACGGCCAGATGGTTGGTGCGGAGGGGTGGCCCGAAGCGTTAATGGCACAGTCGCTTGAACTCGTCCCAGGTGGGCTCGCCGGCGTCGCGCTCCAAGACGTAGTACCATTGTTGAGCGGTACCCGTGAGATGGAACGAGGCTAGCCAAACCTTGTCGCCCTACGGGGTGCGTTGGGCGCGGAAGAACTGATCGCACCTGTTGAGCCAGCCCAGCGGGTCATCCTTGCCATCGTAGATGGGAAAAGAGAGTTTGTGATATCGGGGCACGGTCGCGGCCTCCGGCTCCGGCAGAACATGAGGAAGGGGAGGCGGCATGTGTAGGGCTGCGGCAGACGCTGGAAGGGGTGCTTGCATGGAGGAAAAGGATGGCACAGGGGATGGCGAATGTGGAAAGCTGATCTGGGTGATGGGTACGCCCATGGATGGCGGTCCCGGCTGGGTGGACACGGCCATGGATGCCGGCACGGGTGGGGCGGACGCCTGAATGGAAGGCATCACTGGCAGCGCAGAGGAGATCTCCGAGATGACTGGGCCGGAGGCCGGGAGCTGCGGGATGCCCCCGTGGCCAGGCAGACCATACGGCAGGAACGGTGGCGCGGACGCCGACGGGTGACCTTCGACGGCCGCCATACGCGAGGAAATGTCGCCCATTTGGCGTTGCATGCCGTAGATGGCCGCGGTGAGGGCGTTGAGGGCGTCAGTGAGGATAGCGGTGAGCTATGGGGGTGGAATGGGGGGTGGCACGGTGGAAACGATGGCGGAGCTGGTGAAGGCGGGAGCAGATGAGATCACAGGGGCGGTGGTGGTGATGGCGGCGATGGTGGGAACGACGGCGGCGGATGAAGCTCTAGAACCGGACATGGCTGATACCAGATTGTTGGAGCTTAGGGATCTTAGGGCGTAGGAATGGAAGGTGGCTGGCCTAGGTTTGAATCCCCGGCATCGGTTTGGTGGCGCCGTGCTCAGCGCCTGACGGTGAACGCGAACGAGGAAGACACAGAGAGCGGCAAGGCCAAAGAGCGAGAGAGACAAACTCAATCTCTGGCTAATCTTCTCATTAAACAAATGTTTAGCCTTATAGGCAAATCTAAACACACTCCTAACAAACTCCTGAAAATGCTCTAGTGATCTAACAAACCAAATGATCTAACAACCCGACTAACTGGAAAGGTGGCGCCGAGTCCCGCAGTGACCACGCCCAGCGCGCCGTGGTGACCGCGCACAGCTCGCGAACGCTCTTCACGCGCGCACCTTCTAGCCACGGCTGCGTCTCTTCCTCTGATAGGTTTGGCCCAACATAACACTATCATTGGCGAATAGATTATTCAGAAGATGTTTTGTGCTGCCTTTTAGAACTTTCCTTTTACTTTTTTCTCGTTTCAAAATAAAGAACCTCTAGGTTTTTCAGCCATACTACCAGAGCTCATGAGAACAATTTTCTTTACTTGAAGAATAGGTCCTAATGAAATTTTAACTGAATGTGGTGGATTGAATTTTCCAAGAAAATTGAGGGCAGTGAAATTGACGAAGCTGATTTTTGTACTTACCTTCCTCATCAAATATAACTTGATTAATAATAATATTGTGTGAATCAATCTCAAACTTTGCTAACTCTTGCACCAATCTCTCTGTTTCATACAATGAAAGAAATTCCGGAATACAAACACACACAAAAGTTGTCAAGTCCTGGGAAGAAAACAAAAAAGGAAGTCAGAAGGGGGTACCATCAACAGTAGGTGCCTAAAAAATGTAGAGCATGGTTGGTCAGTTCATGTTCACCCAGCAGTGATCCTGTGTGCTTAAATTGGACAGGTGCAGAAGCTATCCTAGAATGCCTTAAGCAGAAAGCATCTGGTGTGCTGTTAAAAAATGATCTACTATACAAACTGTAAGTTTAGAGCATGTAGTGTGAGTCAAGTTTACAATCTAAACTTTTGGTTTTAAGCAAGAAGAGCAATCAACTCAAATCTTAAGAGCACTAATGCTTTATTTAGTTCCAAGTTTCACTATCATGAGTTTCCCATGTGTGTTCTCACTATATCTTTTAACTAGTGACAATTTTTTTACACCAGGTACTGTATAGCATAATCTTGTTACTAGTAGATTAAGGAGCATATCTGCTTCCATACAAGGTAGGAAGTCTTACTGGATCTTTAAATTGCCTGTTCACTTGTTCGATCACGTCCTTCATACCCTCAAGTTTCCCAAGCATTGCATCCTCGTTCAGTTCATCGCCAAGACCAAACAATCGACTGGCCTGCCAAATGCATTCATTATTATATTAGCTATACATGTGCGTTCCCATCTGGGCAGGTCCAATGAAGAATCTGCACATGCAAAAGTTCGCCATGTACATATTACCATTTAACCTCAGTATGAACAAAGGTATGTCATCAAGTCAATATTTCTTTCTTTTCTTTGCTTTTTTCCCCAAGGAGAACTCATAATATCATAGTATTTGCAATACTGAAACATCAGAAAAATTCTTTGGGATAAGCTTGGCGGTTCAGGCTCTCCTGAGCTCATCACAAGATATCTCTATCATTTATTTGGTTATAATTTAAAGGTGCAACCTAGTCCCCTTAATTAATTGATATGAATAGCGTGTTTTTTTTGGAAAGATATGAACGTGTTATTTAGAGAAGCAAATAACAAATCAAACACATGCCCTAGCAACTTTAAAAAAGGTCTTCCAGTATATTGAAATGTATATAAAATACCTGATTCAACAGACCGCCAAATCTATTTTTCAATTCCATCATTTTCTCAAGACCCTTCTCCAGGGTTGCTGGAAACTGAAGCAACCGTAATGTATGCCCTGTAGGAGCAGTATCAAAAACTACAACGGAGTAATCCATTGTTTGGACTAATCTGTAGTGAGGAAAATGTCATATTCAGAAAGTTGTTGGAAGCCAAGAAGTACCATTTCCGGGAATAACAATGATAGTCAAAATATAACTGCCTTGACATATTGGAGATGTTGAACAGGTGGAATTAGAAAGGGTAGCAAATAAAATAAAAATGGATGGTAATGAAAGTAACTGGTCATATTGGGAAGAATGGCAAACAACTGAACGAAGCAAAAACCTTACTTTAGCATTTCAGCAAAACTCATAGCTTCGTCTACTCCTGGAATCGCATTTGTCAGTTCTGAAAGGAATCCCTCCATTCCTTCATTGGATAAATCATCATTTTCTACCTTTGGGTCAATTTCCTGCAAATAAAGTTATGAAACGAGACTATTCAGCCAAACACCAGCTCTAATAACATGAAACAAGCTACCTTTTGAAAAAACAATCAAATTAATGAAATGGTTAAAAAATGAACTCATAGGACAACAAATGAAACCTGTTTTACTTTGTATATCATTTGTGAGAATACAAAGAAATGACTAAATGGATTTGTATAAGTATCATGTTTGGTGTGGATGAAAATACAAAGAAAAGGAGGCAAATGCTAAAATCTGGTGCTTAGTCAATGGCCATACATTTTTTTTAATACCCAAGTGGAACTTGTTCTAAATGAAACTGAAATAGAATGGGTATTCTGTAAGCCAACCACATAATTTGTTATTAACCTCTTCTTAGCATAAAGAAAAAAATATTACAAAAGATTAGGTACTTCTTTTGTACAAGTCTGCTACTTATCCTTCAACTTCCGTAATCAACTCAAGAAATAATGTGGAAATCACCACCATATTATTCGAGGAGCCTAATCACCACTTGGGATGGTTCATGAAGATGCAGGCCCCATCACTGAGCAACAATCCTGTGACTGTGACCCACATGCCTCAAAGTACAACTATACAAACCCAAACCAACCCCGAATTGGTAACTTTGCATCTCGTATAGCCTGGCCTAGGTAAATGCCTATGACTTCCATACATGGAAAATTAAGGGCAACATGCGGACTTTTCTATCTGCATACTGCCTCTCTCCTCAGACAACCCTGCTGACATCCCCTCCCAAAAATTGGGACGGTGAGGTCCAATTTAATCAGGCAATCACCATTGGCCAGGACACGCAGCCTGCCCATCCAATCCTCACAAGCACCACCGAATTGGGTGGGGTCAAGTGAAGACGACCCCGCGAGAAGAGTGGATTGGAGCCGTAAGACGGAGAAAAGAATTAGGGGAATTTTGCTATTCTTTTTTGTGTTTATTTATTACCATGGCGTAGAGGTTGGTGAATCCGCGGACGAGGGTGGGGAACTTGGTGAAGCGCTGCTGGAAGGCGTCGCTGAGGTTGTGCGCAGGGTCGGTGGAGATAACTAGCACGGACTGGCGGACCCCGGCGAGGAGGACGGAGAGGATGGAGCTGCAGGTGGTCTTGCCGACGCCGCCCTTGCCGCCGACGAAGACCCACTTGAGGGACTCCTGGTCCAGGAGGTTCCGCACCGTGGGCTCCGGCGCGTCGCCTGCGTCCACTACCGCCGCAGACGCCATGCTCCGATACCCGCGCGGTGATCGGAGTGGGCGAGAAGGGGATGAGATCTGGTGGAGTGGAGAGGAGGCGATCGGCGGTGGCGCGCCTGCTGGGGGCAGAAGCGGTACTGGAATTGTCTAGGTGGAAAATACCTTTCCTCTTCTGGACGTTTTCAACTTTTCATCGTTTTTTATCGTTTAATTAACATTTCTCCTCGGTCCCCGGTGGCTAACAAGGTAAATTTTCTCCGATCAAAAAAGAAAAGCAAGGTAAAACTTCTCACTTAAATTCTTTTTAAATACTACTGTCGCATTTAGGGTGTTGTTTCGAAGGGTGTTTCGGATCACCCGCTAATAAATTTCTATGGCCCGGATGCTGTGCTCGGAGATAAAGGATTATACTGGTTCGGACAGAACGTCCCTATGTCCAGTCTCTTGCTGCTCGAGTTACCGACACTGTTTGTAGTAGGGGGTTACAGATGGACGAGAGATGGAGAAGGCCCAAAGTCTATGGTGAAAAGATCGAACGAAGTTGAGTCTTGTTAAACTCGTTCAGCCGTGCCTTTCATGGGTGAAGGGGAAGGCGCAGGTTACAGAGAGAAGAGAGAGAGAAAAGGAGAAAAAACGAGGGAGAAGAAGGCCTCTAGGGTCGCGGCGTCCTTCATCTCTTTTTATGCGGGTCCTGCTGGTCCTGTAGATGATGATGGAGACGGCTCTACGTCGCGGCCCTGTTCATCACTGGCGCTATACGTAGGCGTCGTCAGCCGGTCGCGGCGCTGACGAAGCCCTCGCCCGAGGGGTCTGGCGAGACGGGACCCGCGCCCTCGGGGTCGGGCGAGACTTTAAATACATCTTGGACCATCCGGACCAATTAACGTTCGTAACCGTTAACTTCCTTCCTCCGAGTATCTCTAATGTCGATACCCGACAGTACCACAGAGCTTACTTTAAAAGTACTCTACTTTCTTCTTTTTGGCCGGGAGGATCTCATAATCTAATTTAATTGCCTTCGTTTAGTCCTGCTAAGTTTATGCATGTAAAAAGCAACTTCGGAAAACATATCCTCATTTTGTAGGTTTAGATTAAAGATAACAAACTACGTGTAGGGTTAGAGCTAGAGTAGAGTTTGTTTGCTCTAAACTTTAGAGCTCTAAAAGCTTTATAACATTTTAGCCCACTTTTGAGCTCTAAAGCTCTAATGTGAGATGGTCTAAAATTTAGAGCTAACTTTATATCACTTGCTCGGAGCTTTAGCTCTAAAGTTTAGAGGAAAAAACCTAAACAGACCCTAAATTGAAGTGGTATTTTTTTTGGAGAATTTAAATTGAAGTGATATGCCTTATGAGCACAGGTATAACTGTCATTCGGACATATGCATGGCAAAATTATAGTCCCCACATACAATAATGGTACAGACATACCTTAGAGCATCTCTAAGAGACTCTCCATGTCCTTCCTAAATGGTAGGAATAAAAATTTTGGTAAAAAAACTACTCTCCAACAGCTTTTCTAAATGATCATCCAAATATAGCCATCTTCTATTTTGAATTTTTTTTCTAGCCAAATATAGAAGACGAGAATGACTCTCTAGAGTGCGCATGAGATATAGAAAAACTATTGGAGAGTGAAAAGATACAGAAAACGATATTTATGCAAATGACTTTCCAAATAATGATTTAGAGAGTGAGATTTAGAAAGGCACTTGGAGATGCTCTTACAACAATAGCAAAACTAGTCTTTGTTGTACATGTAGATATCCACAAAAGATGGAAATCATGACTAGGACTAATTTTTTTTATCGTGGTTACGAACTGCGGTTCAAATTCACATACCCTCTCTCCACGTCTTCTGGGAAGTTTAAACTAACATATTCATTTTATGTTTCAATATTCCTCTTCAAGTGGAGATGAGTGGTTGTTTTTTTATTTAATTGCGCTAGTAGAATTCAAACCCAATATGTTTGGTTCTAATACCATATTGAGTTATATATGCCGGTCGTTTTAAATGTGAATTAATAGGGAAGCGGTGAATTCATTTTATTCAACAGTCGTTGCAGTCTCGTGTGTACCTAGGGAAATATTCTGGAGGATTCTCGTTCATGGGTGATTTTAGTCATTATAACTTATAAGAGCTAGTAATTCCTTACTAGCTAATCTTAGGGCGCTTTCGGTAGGGATTCGGATTCTCGTAGAAACGTTTCGGATCCGAATTCTTTAAAGAAACATTTGAGGAGAGGAATCATTTTTTAAACCGTTTGGCTAGTAGGTTGGATTTTAATTCGAAAGAAAATATTTTTTATTAAAAAATTATATAAATAAAAATATGTTGCACATATTTTATTTGTTGAAATATATATAATGGAGTTATCCAAGTAATAAAAGAAAATTGCACATATTCTTTGTTGAAATAAGTTGGAAAATTAATCTTGATATGGACAGTAGGACATCAAATGATATTTCCCTCCTGAAATAGAATAAAAGCTATGCAAATTTAATGTTTGACTTTTGAGTTATTGTATTATATAGGTTTGCGATAATTGTGAGCCTGAAATCCTTAGCTGATAGGAGCATAATACAACACAGCAAAAGCGGTTTTTGTTGTCAAAGAACTTGCCTGCTTCAAACTTTCGGGCCCACATTACTCTTTGAATTTGTCTATGTGTTCCTGATAACACATTTTTCAAGCTTATTTTCTTGTCGAACATCAGCGGCAGCCACCAGCTCATCCGCATTCGTATGCATGTTTGTTGCAACACAGCAACAGTAAAAACTGAAACCAAACCATTTTTAAAGAGTTAATAGGCAGTCTGTTCTGTTTCCCTGAAAAAACACCGTTTCACTACGACAACAATTATAGGGTCTGTCCAACGTTCTGTATGATTTCGTTGAACGGTCATCAAGAAGCTGGAAGATAAGTGAAGAACTCTTATTTTTATCTGAATAAAAGTACATATATGTGGAGTACTATGTTTTTATTAAGGCCTCGTTCGCTTCGCTGAAAAAACAAGCCGAAACACTGTTCCGGCTGATTTGTCGTGAAAGAAAAACACTATTCCGACTAAAAAAATAAGCTGAAAAGTACAGATTATAAGACAAACGAACATGGCCTTAGAGTTGACATCAGAGAGGTGTGTACTTTTTAGGAGGTAAAAACAAGAGTCAGAGTTCCTAAGTATTTGAACCCTGTTTTCACTGTTTTAATAATATAATATAAGGTCCATATAAAAAACTAATGAACAGAGGAATAAAGGCAGAGTACTGATTTGGGTGATCCACCATTCAACGATTACCAGCTGGTTCCAGAGATTATCCAGTTTTGGCACACCAGCGCAGCTGCCAATCTGCCATTACCTTGAGAAAAAAAAATGCGCAGTTTTGCTATTCCCAAATCCCAATTGCAGAAGTCAAGAACGGTTATATTTCTCCATCCTCCAAAAGAAAAGGCGAAAAGAAAGGGAAAGTGAGAAAAAAGCGAAGGAGGGAAGAAAACGGCCAGGCCCACCTGCATCGGCACGGGGGGCCCGCGCGCTAACGGGAGACCGAGAGAACCCACAACGGCAAAGAGGCAGCCCAGCCCCAGAGGCCAGAAGCCGCGCCCCGAGCCCCGCAAATTGCCAAGGCCACACCCAGGCGCCGGTGGCCGGCGCAAGTCTGAACTCCCCCACCCTTGAATTCAACCTCCGGCACGGCCGACGGGCCGAGCCCGACCGACGCCGGCGGGAGAGGCAGAGACGGAGAGAAAGAGATGGGCGTGGGGGGCAGCTTCTGGGACCTGCTGAAGCCCTACGCGCGGCACGAGGGCGCGGGGTACCTACGCGGGCGCCGCGTCGCCGTCGACCTCTCCTTCTGGGTCGTCTCCCACAGCACCGCTATCCGGGCGCGCTTGCCGCGGGCGCGGAGCCCGCACCTCCGGACCACCTTCTTCCGCACCCTCTCCCTCTTCGCCAAGGTCCGGTGCCACTGGTGGTGTCCCCACGCTTTCCCACCTCTCCCCTCCCTCGGCCTCCTTCGCTCGGTTCTCGTCCTTCCCCACTTATTGTCTCTGACTTCCGCCCGTTTCTTGATCTCACCGAATGTGTAGTGTCCTGACCTGTGCTTGGGCGCTTCTGCATTCTGCAGTTGCTGCCTTTTGCTTTCCAAGATTTAATCTTGCCGGGGTCTAATTACTGCATTGCTCGATTTTTTTGGTTCCCGGATTCACCCGTTTCCGCTGGATTGTGTCTGCAATTCCTGCAGATGGGCGCGTTCCCTGTGTTCGTGGTGGACGGCGAGCCGTCACCGCTCAAGTCGCAGGCGAGGGCGGCGCGCTTCTTCCGAGGCTCCGGGATGGACCTGGCCGCGTTGCCGAGCACAGAGGCGGACTCCAGTGCGGCCGCGGCTCCGGTCAAAAGGAGGAATGCTGCATTCACGCGATGCGTTGAGGAGTGCGTGGTGAGTTCCCGTGTCTTGGCAATGTCTGTGATCCTGCGTTCAATCTAGGGTTTAATTAGGGCTTGCAGAACCGTCTGCCTTGTTAAACTGTTCATCACGAGATTGAGTGATTCACAACCACTGTAGTGTAGATTCCTCATCCAACACCACAATATCTTTACACTAGCTTCTTGCTACTTAAATGGTCAGCAACAATGACGTATATGCAGATGATACCTGCTCATGTAAATGTATGCATTGTTTTAAATGTTCGTTAATATTCTGTAATTTTTAGGAACTGCTTGAATATCTTGGAATGCCTGTGTTGAGGGCAAACGGTGAAGCTGAAGCCCTTTGCGCTCAGCTGAATAATGAAGGGCATGTAGATGCTTGCATCACTGCAGACAGTGATGCTTTCCTCTTTGGGGCTAAGACTGTCATAAAGGTCCTCAGATCGAATTGCAAGGTAAGGACTCCTCTGTAGTTCTGTGTCGACAGCAGGTGATTTGTTTTGTTTTCCATGTGCAATAGTTTCAAGACCATCAACTTTTCTTCAGGAACCTTTTGAGTGCTACCACATAGCAGACATTGAGTCTGGTCTTGGATTAAAGA